TTTTTTTTTTTTTCAGGTTTGTGCCATAGGGTGCGTGGGCTCTCTGGAGAGAGACTGTGAGAGGGAAAGTGAGAAATTACCCCCTAGAGGTGATGGCAACACCACAATTCCCTCTCTTCCCAGAATCATGGGCATGCATGCACACGCGCCTGGCATTGAATTCAAACCACCAGGTCTGGGATCCAAACTGTGGTCGGCCACGTGGGAGTCCAGCACCTTAACCATCGTGCCACCTGCTGGTGCCGAGATGAATTTTTTTAATTGAAAAGAAACATCTATTCCCAAATGGTAAATATGAATCAATTTAGTCATGGTAAAGAAAGATCCTTGAATAAATATATTTGAAAAGATATGATGCAGAACCAGAACCAAGGAAAAGATGAACAGGTATTTGGTGTCAAGCTGTGGATCTCAGCCTGTTTTTCCTTCCCAGTGTACCTGTGAAATAAAATATTTCCATTAATAATTACAAATCATTTGGTGGTAATAATTCCCATTTGAGAGGGTGGACATTATTAGAGCAGATCATAAGTATTAAGAAGTTCTTGGGAAACAGATACTTGAAGAGAAAAATGTATTTTAACATGTATGAGAAAGATGGTGGCTCTGAAGTTGGCTTTAAGGGGTGATACTGTGTGCTAGACAACCATAATGGGAGCTTTCAAAGTACATCTTCTTTGTGACTTTCTCTTTCACAGCGGCAAGGTTACTGACTTCATGATGTTTGGTGGCTTCGAGACTATAGAAGCATATGAAGATGACCTTTATCGGGAAGAGTCATCTAGTGAACTGAGTGTGGATAGTGAGGTGGAATTTCAGCTCTACAGTCAAGTTCATTATGCCCAAGAATGTGGTAATGCCGTCAGGGAGGAAGAACATGAAGAAAAGAACTCTGAGAATGCCAAAGCATCGAGTAGTAAACCAAATCAGAACTTAATTGTCCTCTCAGATACTGAGGTTATCCAGCTATCAGATGGGTCAGAGGTTATCAGTTTGTCTGATGAAGATAGTATTTATAGATGTAAAAAAAAGAATATTAGAATGCAAGCACAAGGAAAGACCCAAGATCATCCTGCTTTTCTTCGTTCGGAATCAGTTAAGAAATGCAAGGGAGGCATGAAAAACCCTGAACCTAAAGCTAGATCAGGTGTAATCCAAGAGGTCATGGTTATAGAAGTCAGTTCAAGTGAAGAGGAAGAGAGCACGGTTTCGGACAGTGATCATGTGGAAAGCTGGATGCTGCTGGGATGCGAAGTAGATGACAATGATGATGATATCCTTCTCAACCTTGTGGGATGTGAAAACTCTGTTACTGAAGGTTAGTATCGCATTGGCCATTTTGGAAAGTAGTATCATCTTTAATAAAGGAGAACTGCTTTTCCTTGAAAAAAGACCAATAGGGTCTGCTCCCCTTAATTTCTCACTTTTTGGTCTTCTGTTTTGTCTTCTTTCTCTTGAGACTCTTTTACCAGTGGCTACTCTAATGGTGGTCTATTTGAACATCAGAAAGAGTATGTCACAGTATCAAAGACACTCTGCTTCTGCTGTAAACAGATTCATAGCTGCGTCTTCCTGTTTGGCTAGAGCCATTTGTGGACCTGAAATCTTAGTTCCCCTCTCTGTCTGCTTGGCATTACAGGTAAGTAGTCTATCTACCTCTGACATTGCCCTTATGCTCTCATTTGGCCGCTCTGTTGGGCCTACCTCTTCCTAAGTGTTTTGCTTACTGGGGAGCAAGCATGGTACAGAGACGATATGGAATTAGTATCGATTTTTAGATATTCCTTGGGGCCAGCAGGTGGCTTGGTGGGTGCTGGACTCCCACATGACCAACTGTGGTTTGAGTCCCAGACCTGACAGCTTGCTTTCTCACTTCCCGTCTCTCTCTTTCTCTCTCTCTCTCTGTCCTTCTCTGGTCAAATTAAAAAACAAATAAAGTAAAGTTAATAAAATAATTTAAAAAATATTTTAGACATTCCATAGTCATTAAGAGAGAAGGATATGAAGAACTCTAGGGTAGATTGTAGGAGAGAATGTAAATATTGAGAGCTGTATCATCAAGGATTAAGATTTCAGATTTAGCTGTCTCTGTCACATGTAGTCATCTAGCCTGAATGCTCTTTTAAAAAAAATCTCTTCATTTCCCTTGCTTTATCCTTAGTGCCTAGTCTCTTGCAGTAGTTTCCTAAATGGTCATGTTTTATATCTGATCAACATACTGTTTTTACACTAGCAGTCTAGAAATACTCTTTTACTCATGATGTACTTTATTGCTGCTGCAGAACCACTCTGCTGTCCTCAGAGGAAATGACATTGGATGTAGATCACGGTTGGAGCCCCAGAGATTGGCAAGCTTCATTTTAGGGAGCCAGATAGAAACATTTTGGACTTCCAGTCCATAGGATTGCTTAACTATTCTACTTTGCCCTTATGAGCCTTAGCTAATACCTATAATACCTATAGCATTTGGGTGGTTATTTCAATAAAATCTTATTTACAAAAACAGCTGTTTGATTCATACTATGGTTGCTGATGCTGAGAATTTGAAAAAAGGAAGCACAAAGAGAATAGTAGTTAAAACATAGAGTAAAATCAAATAAAAATTTGTCTGAATAAGGGGAATCTAATAATTTTTTTAGGTAGAAGGGATGAAACTTGGTGGATTGGGTTAGAGAGCCACGTAGGAGGTGGGATCAGGTGTCTGCGTTCTTGAATTGGTCTTAAAAAGGAAGAGAAATGTTATTAATTGCTATATCATTGACTATTTTTAGATGTAGAGAAGAAAGAATAAATTTAAATGGATTGAAGTTGATGAGAGAACATATAAGGATGTGTTTGATTTTCTTGGGAAAATGAAAGTGAAAGTAGAAGTGGGCAGAGGATACTTAGAAGTTTAGTGGGATTAAAGGATATTTCAGTGCTGTGGGAAATACTCTCAGGCAGTGGTTCCTAGTAGTTTGTCAACCCCTTTAACTTCAAGAAAATTTGTGGGAGAAGATTGTAGTTTTTTCATTACTTGAGAAAATATAGATTAGCAAAAAGTAACTATTCAATCCTCTCTTGCATAACTTTGTATTTTATTAACCATACCATTGATTCGAGTAGTGTTAAGACACATATGTAGGAGATAGTCTTTATATAACGCATGCCATCTGGGTACCCATTGCAGTACCTAATTCTACAGCTCTCTGGGAGTCTGAAGTTAGGTTGGAAATTAGTGTGCTAAGGAGTCAACAATAAGAGAATAAAAGAATTACTTAGCAGTAGTATTCAGTCTAAATTAATAGGAACTTTTTATAAACTCGGTTTGAAGCCTTCTGTAACTCTTTAAAGTAATACCTGGGCAGTCTGGAGCACAATGACAGAAACCAAATGATCCCAGGTTAGGTATAGCATTATGGAAGGTCAAAACAAACAGTTAACCTAGTCTTTCTCTAAATTGCCCTCCCCTGAGATCAAACCTAGTTTCATTAATCACTTCTGTGTTCCTGTTGATCCAGTTGGCTCCCCCCACCAAGGTTTTTGCCATAGGCTGTGTATATTCTCTAGAAAGAGATAGTGAGAGGGAGAGTGAGAAATCACCCCTCGGGGGCATGGTCATGCTATAGTCTCTTCTCTTTCATTCTTTGCCTGAGATTTTGGGCACATATGACACACGTACCCAGCATGACTTTCAAGGTGCCAGGTCTGGGACTTGAGTCGCGTTAGACCACCTAGGGATCCAGTGCCTTAACCACCATGCCACCCGCTGGCTCTGGCACCATTTTTTCTTACCCATTTTCTTGAATTCAAGTTCCCCATGTACACCTTACAGAATATTTCCATTTGGGTATCTTACTGTTCAGATTTCATATATTGAAAAGAAAGCTTGTTATCTTTCCTTTTTTTTTTTTATATAGACCACAGATTAGTTTATTTTTAACATCCATCATGCCATGAATTCAGAGGGAATAAGTTTCAGTAGCTCAGGCCCCTTTCCATTGGCTCTCACAAAGTGTGCTTCTCTGGGTGGAGCAGGCTGGTGCTTTAGTTGAACCCAGGTACCTTTCTCTTTGTCTTCCTTCTATTTCTGATCATTTTCCTTCACACGTTTTAGGAAGCTATCTCTGCTCTTAGAATGTTTAATATGCTCAATATACACATTCATTCTCTTGGCAAGAATCTTTCCCTTAACTTGTTTGTTCACAACAATGCCAATGTTGGGTGACATTGTAGACTCTTACAGTTTTGCCATGGTAACATTTGTGGGGCATTCCTTTTTGAACAGTACCCATTCCCTTAATGTCTTAAATATCACCTTTCTTGTAGATTCACATATATATTGCCAAAGGAAAAACTCTGTGTTTTCTAAAAGGCCTGGAGAATATATATCTGGTGCCTCTCCTCTTTC